TTTTTCCCTGACCTGTTCTATAACTTGAGTAACATTGTTTTATTAAAAGACAGAATTTTACTTGGTTTTTAAGACCAGAAAAGCAAGAAGCACTACTTTGGATCCTAGCTAAATTAAGCTTTACTACTAAGATATATTTTCTATACTTGATATTTTACTTTCTTTTCTGTGACTTGAATCAAGATGCGCAGCAGAAACAATAAAAAAGAAATCTAAGTGCAGAAAATAAAGCAAACACAGAATTCATGTGATTCACTACCACAATATGTGAGCTACATTTATGCGAGAAGGAGAACATCAAATCCACTATGAAATGATCAATGCTTTACAAGAGATTTGAATAGCCTAAATCACTCAAACCACACCCCAATAGGAGTCCCTAGTACACCCAAGCTCACTCTACCCGAGAAAACCCCTTTGATCATAAAAGAACCACCTTATTTCCTCTTATGGTGGCTGGCATCTAACTCTCACCCATGTTTTCCCTCAAGAAAGCTCCCTTGTATTTATGGGAGTACAAAAGGATAATTTGATAATTCTAAAGAAAGTCCAAAATGCACAGCATCACTAAAGCATTTTAGTGAGTTTTTAAAGGCTAGATTTTCTGGTATGATACCAAATTTATGAACCTTCGTAACTGGTTCCATAATCTTGCTGTCAACTTTGAAAGCTTTAACATGATTTCAAGGCATACCTCACATTTTTCATGTGGAAAAAGTTGGTTGACAGAATTATGCTCTCGATTTTAACTTAAGATGTTCAATTTTTACAATGGAAAATGTCTTAAAGCTACAAAATCAGCTTCTTTAACTTCCATCTTTATGGTAATCAAAGAATGAGAATATGGATGGAATTAATGATAACTTTATGTGTTTCATAACTAATTAAGTGTTCTCCATCTTTCGACTTCAGTGTCTGTATATATATGTTTAACATCGATCGCAATTCATATATCATTCCAAAAATTAAAAAAATAAAATAAAATGAAAGCACTTGTCCACCTGTATATTAAACAATATTGCCAAGGGCATGCATTCATGCACCATCAGCAATGTTTGAAAGGTACGTCTAGAATATTCTGTAAAGATGATGACTGTTGGGAATAGGCCCAACATCCAATCCGAATCATACACAACAGGCCCAATGGTGTCTTCATGACCCCAAAATGAGGAGACATACCCACGTGGGTAGTAACACGTGGGCCAATCAGATGCGTACACGTATAGACTCATGTCAATATATGGGGCTATAAATACCCCTCCAACTACCTCTATACAAGGTATTAACTCCACTATACTTCTTTCTCTATAATTACTCTTGAGAGCTTCTCTCTCTAGAACTCAAAGTGTTGCTAACTTCAACGTCGAAGTGTTTTCCTCAAGAAAACATCCTCGGGATTTTTAGGTGTTGAAGTAGCCGAAGAAGCCTATAGTTTGAGTTGTACGGAAAGGCATGTGGAGCTACCCAAACATTTGGTGCCGTCTATGGGAAACTGAACAAAAGGTGCCGCGGTTTAACTAGCTCGAGCTGAAAATGGTGCGCACCTTCACAGGAAACCACCCCTCAAGAGGCAACATGAATGACCAGGACAATACTCAGCTTTTGGAAAGTGACCTCAATGACTTCCAACCAATGCTAAGAAGCCTTTTCGTGGGAGGAGCAGAATAAGAACAATCAAATACTTTAGATGATGAACAAACACTTATTGGGTATGCAACCCAACTTGAAGAACAGTTTCGCATCTCAGCGGAAGCCAGGCGAAGGCATTCCAGACAAAATGCTTCATAACCTAAGAGACCCATGGAAGCTGCTATGATGACCAAGCTGGAAGAAAGAACCAAAGTTTTAGAAATGGCCATGGGAAAAATCCTCTCTCATCTCATCTTTGATGACCCCTCAATTCCTTTACTGAATAGGGTGAACAACCGACACCAGTAGTTGCAACCCGTAACTCCCCAGCTTTAAGTAATGTGGTGGTTCCAACCAAGCCAAGGGGAATTGTAAGGCTAAATCCAAAGCCCAGCTCGTCCAAACACAACAATGAATTAATGAAGAAAAACGCAAAACTTGAAACGCAGTTAAAACATATCAGAAGTTAGTTCAGGTCATCTTTAAACTTCAGATCAGCAAAAACATTGAAGTATATGTTGATGATATGATTGTCACCAGCGTGTGAGCTGAGGATCATATTGATGACCTGAATGAAACATTTCAAAACCTATGCTGAGCACAAATGAGGTTAAACCCGTTGAAATGTACATTTGCTATGGAATCAGGCAAATTCTTAGGGTATGTGGTGTCCAAGAAAGGAATTGAGGTAAACCCGAATAAAGTTAAGGTTGTGCAGCAAATGGAACCTCCTAAGACAATAAAAGATGTGTGACGTCTAACAGGTCATCTCGTTACCCTACACAGGTTCATCGCCAGGTCGATAGAAAAGTGCCTCCCATTCTTCAGAGTTTTGCGAAAGCCAAAAAACTTCCAATGCACGAGTGAATGCCAACAAGCTTTTGATAAGCTCAAACAATACCTAGCATCACCACCCTTGCTTTCCAAGCCTGTTGATGGAGAAAAATTGTACTTGTATCTGGGGATCACAGATGAAGCAATTAGCTTAGTTCTGTTAAGGGAGCAAGATAAACATCAAAAGCCAATCTGTTATATCAGTAAAGTCTTGCATGGTGTAGAACGGAATTATCCTATTGCTAAAAAGGTTGCTTTTGCACTCGTTTGCATCGCCCGAAAGCTAAGGGCCTATTTCCAATCTCACAAAATTGTTGTCTACACTGACCTACTGTTGAAGAAGATATTGCAGAAGCTTGAGCTTTTTGGTCAACTAATTGGGTGGGTGGTCGAGTTGAGTGAATACGACCCCAAGTTTCAAGCACGCATAACCTTAAGGGTCAAGCTTTAGCAAACTTCATCATGGAGTGCCACCCGCTAGTTGTAGAAGAAACCATGCTGTCAGGTCTGGTATGGGCTTTGTTTGTAGATGGGGCTACAAGTGTTGAAGGATCAGGGGCAAGGTCAGTGCTAATAAGCCCAAATGGCTTCAAATCTGAGCATGCACTGAGATTCAATTTTAAGACGACGAATAATGCCACCAAATATGAAGTGCTTATTTATGGTCTGAAGTTAGCGTCGGAGCTGAAAGCACAGAACATAAGAGTCTTTAGTGACTCTCAACTTATAGTAAACCAAGTAAACGAAAGTTATGATATCAGAGACCCTCAGCTTGGTCATTACGCCTCTGTGGCCAGCAACATGAAGGCAAGTTTTATTTCATTTCAAATTGACAAGATACCAAGAGTAGATAATCATCGAGCTTATGAGTTATCAAAGCTGGCTTCATCGCAAGATATCAATCTTCAAAGGATGACAGTCGTTGAGATCCTTGATGCACCGAGCTACATCGACCTAGTGGACGGGTGTCTAATTTTGAGTACAGACCCCTCATCGCTGAGCTGAACTACGCCCTTGATTAATTACTTGCAAAATGGTGAATTGCCTGAGGATCTATTTAATGCTCGATTGGTTAGGCATAGGGCGGCACATTTTACCCTAATTAATGATCATTTGTATAAAAGAGCAGCTTCAATGCACCTACTATGTTGTCTCACTCCTTACAAAGCTGAGTATGCAGTAAGAGAAATTCATGAAGGAGTATGTGGCATGCATATAGGAGGAAAGACCCTAGCTCGAAAAATTCTAAGACAGGGATATTACTGGCCTACCATGGTTGAAGATGTGCAGAGTTACATTAAAAAATGCCTGACCTGCCAATTCAACGCTAATGACATTCACATGCCAAGTATCTGAGCTCATCCAAAACTTTGCAGAAACTCCTTTTTTGTCTCTATACTAAACAAAAATCTCCTCGAAAACTGGGAAAATGTTGTCTTCTCTCACATCACCTTAGCCTTTCGCTTAGTGGGGAGTTGATCTGCTCGGCCCCTTTATTAAAAGTAAAGGAGGCAACACACACCTCTTTATTGCTATGAATTACTTCACTAAATGGATAGAAGCCAAACCGTTGTCCACAACAACTGAAAAGAAGATAGAGGTATTCTTCAGTTGATTAAACTTTATGCATTGTGTCTACACATACAATGGCTCAGTCAACTCATATATGTGCAGGTTCGGTATTCCCAGACGAATCATTGCTGATAATGGACCTCAATTCCGAGCTACGACACTTAAGTTGTTTTGTGATGATTACGGTATCGAACTCTCCCTTATGTCCGTATACACTCCACAGTCAAATGGACAAGCAGAATCAGCTAATAAGATCATCTTGCGAGGACTTAAGACACGTGTCTTAGCTGCACACTCCAATTGGGTTGACGAGCTCAACAAGGTGTTATGGTCATGTCGTACAACTCCCAGCTCAGCCACGGGAGAAACCCCATTCTCCCTTGTTTACGAAACTGAGGTCGTTCTTCCTATGAAAGTAGGTTTATCCACTAACAAATCTGCCCGGCATGATAATCTTGATAACGAGCAACTCCTAAGAGAAAACCTAGACCTTTTGGAAGAGGTTAGGGAAATATCTAGGATTAAAAACATGGTGTATCAAGGTCGAGTCGCCAGGTTTTACAATAAGCGGGTACGAGCTCACCAATTTTAGGTTGGTGACCTAGTTTTACGGAAGGCTAGACTCACCAATGCATATTTGCAAATGGGCAAACTCGCTCCTAATTGGGAAGGTCCATACATGGTCATCCAAATCAAATGACCTGGGTCTTACATATTAGCAGATTCACAAGGTCAACAGCTACCATTTACATGGAATATTCATAATCTTAGGAAATATTACAGTTAATTTATATTATTATTCAACATGTTGAGAGAATGAAAAATGTATGAATACAATGTAAATAATACACGAAACATTCTAAAAAAATTGTCTAGTTGTATTTCTTGCAAAATTGTTACATGTGATATGAGAGCAATTACAAAAATTTGTCATAGACATGGATATATTAACACCAAAAATTCAAAAGAAAAAGATAAAGCCTAAATCATAATCATCCGTTAAATCAACGGAAACAAATGCGTCAGCACGAGCTGGAGAAGGAATAGTAGCAGTGGTGGCGAGCTGAGGTGCAGGTGGAGTGCTAAAGGGTTCAGCTTCCTCCAGGTGCGTCCCCCACCCAAGAGTTGAACCTAGGCAGGTTCTCAAAATCCTGCCCCTCTTCCAAAACCAATGGACGCCATATAGGCACTCCATCTTTGTTTAACTCCCACCTAAGCCACACAGTGGTATCAACGGGGGAAGCAAGGCTCTTACCCTCTTCGTCGAACTCTTTACCCTCAAAAAACACCAGCTCGCCTATTGGAAAGTCTGATCGATGCTTCAATACTTTTCCACAGACATCATTATAGATCTCCGTCATGGTGTTCATGGTAGCCACAGCTACGGCATCCTTGAACATATCAACACCAACCAGCCACTCCGCTCCTTGAGCTCAAGCAATGCTTATGTAACGCTGGTGATGAGTTTTGGCTTTCCTCAGCCCCTCCTCTGCGCGGGCAAGATCCTGATCACCTGCTGCTACTCGTTGTCTAAGAGCACTTGTTCAGAGCGCTATCCCTCTCAGCCTCTACCCTCGTAGCGCGATCTATAGTACGAATGACCTCGTCCTTAGTAGCTTGGATCCCGCTCTTCTTTTCGGCCTGAGCTTTCTCCAGTTCCTCCTTCAGCCGGTTGACCTTGTTGGCCAGCTCATTAGCTCGGCTCTCAGCTAATGCAGCCCTATTGGCCATCTCTGAGTTTTGTAAGCGATTGACCTCATCTTCCAAGCTTGTCTTGTCAGATGTCAAGCGCTTAAAAGAGTCATTCAGCTCGTGGTTCTACCTATGAGCTCCCTGCTCGCTCTCAAACCAGGCAACCATATAGCTTAATGCTTGTAACAGCATTTATACAGTTAGGGTCTAATATAAAATTAATACAATAGATAACGTGATTGTTTAACAAAAATACTCACATCCATTAGCTTTAGCATAGTAGCATGACTCCCATGCTGCTGAATGTAACCCTTGGCACATTGACGGTCTGCAGGTGGAACAAAATTCTACATACCCTGAACCATGGCGGCCTGACAATCAACTTTCATATAGCTAAAACCTTCAGCTATGCAATCCTGGGGCCCAAGCTTGATGTGGGCACTAGCAGCGCTTTAGCTGTGTCACGTGCCTGAGTAGTGGATGCTTCAAGAGAACGTACCGCACCAGATTGAGTCCCATAATTCAATCTGCGTCGAATCAGTGGCACGTCATCCTCAACATCAGAGTCTTCGCGAGCATGCCTCCAAGATTCAGCATAAATGGTTTCAACTCTACACTCGGCGTGTGGCCATGAAGTCGATCTAGAGCCTCGCTCTCTTTGTGACGAGCTGCGAGGTGGAGATACTGGCCGTCGCTCGTTAAAGCGCGTCTGCCTATGCATGCTAGACCTAGCACCTCAAGTTCGCGAGCGTTGAGCTCATTCGCGCTATCTCCCAAGCATGCTACTCATTTCTCCTGTACAAACAAATGTAATAAGACTCAGCTCGGTGAGCAATTATAATTTACAATAGAAGTATACCTTCACTAAATAGGTTTGCGACATCCACAAACTCATGCACAACGAGCGCCTCAGGGGTAACCAACGCCTCCAAATCAACTAACCCCTTTGCCCCTACATAATCCATTATTTTGCCTTTAAGTGCCAGGTCGTCAGGCGTTAATGTGGGGTAGTTCATATAAGTATGACCTAAATGCCACCCAAAGAGGCGAGCAACCAGGTCGTTATTGATCCTCTCTGTTCGTGTCTCTCCCATCTAGAGACCTTATTCCTCACGTTCCTAAAAATCATCATTTTTTCTTTTCCAGAAATATAGTACCACCTCGTTCGAGTGGTACTCAACCGGCATAAGAGCAATCTAAACACAATTACTATTGTGGGTATCTCTAGCCTCGCACATAGCAATATAAATCCGATAATAAATTTTATGCTGTTGGGGGTTAGTTGTTTTAGTGCCAGATCGTACTCTACCAAAATGTCAAAAATTAGCCCGTGCAAAGGAAAACGTAGGCCAACATCAAAGTGGTCCACATACATAGGTATCCACCCTATCTACGACACTGTACATGCCTTTTCGTTTTTGGTGCCAGCTCGGATCAAAATTGTCTTGGGGACATGATACTGCCTCACTATTTCCTCCAATTTCTTATATCCTTTTATGGAGGCGACGCTATCTGCTACCTCATGGTGAAGGTTCGCCCTAAACCTAAATCCAGCAGCCAAGGTCTTTGGTGCCTTGCGAAGGTTGCTCAACCTACCACTTATAGTCTTACCCTCCTAACCTGCAACCACAGGCACATTCACATCCACGTCCACATTTTTTGGCAAAGGGCTACTTATGCCCTCCCCCACACCTGCTCCAACACCTGGAGTCCTTTCTGATGACAACCCTTCAGACGGCGAAAAATGACGACCACCAAAGCCCTCATGTTCACTCGAATTGGCACTGCTCTTAGGCGTCAAGGTTTTTGGCAAATCTTGCAGTTCCAACGACACTATCATGGCGATAGGCTCCATGGACATAACACCCTCTTCCTCTTCCCTACCCTGGTTACCCCAGAGTTCTCTAAGTTCTTTAAAAAATTCCATTTGTTATTACCTGAAAAATTCGAGCATGAATCCCTCTGATATCCTCTGAAAAATTTGCTTCGAAAGCTTCGGAGTCCTTTGCTGTAGAAAATCACAGAGAATATGGTGAAAGAGAAGTGCCAAATGAGTTACGTGATCCTGCCCTTGATTGTTGTACGCGCCTTTATGACAACCACTTAAATCCTATGCGTGGCAACTATTTATGGCCTGGCGTGTAACGTCTGCCAGCTTTAGTTGTCACGTCTCTTCAAATGCTGAGCCAGCATTTGTTGTGGGGAAAACAAAGGGATACTAACCACTCTGAGCCATATCTCTAAAGAGATCTCGTTATGTATTGAAATTTGAATTTAAAAAATGACAAGGTTTAGGTCATAACAAAACGCATCTCCCCAGAGATCAGGTCACTATCAAATTCCTTATATTTGTTCCGTACCCCAAGGATTTACTTTATTATGATGATTGAGGTCGCGCACTTTAGCTCGTCGTAGTAATCACACCCCCTCGGTTTTGTTTTAGCTTATCCCTGTAATAGCATAACGACCTCAATACTTCGCCTTAGAACTTTTGAAAGGCTATTGTGGATTAGATCATCAAATGTTTGCTCGCCTTCACGTTAGTATAGACGAGCTCACTATATAACACGTGGCATATTGTATATGACACTCACCTTACTAAGAGATCTCATCTCTTTCCAAATCTACTCCATTTGGAAGTTAAAAATTCATCATACAAGCTCGCCTTTGCGAACTCGCTGAACTCGTTAATGAACGTCGAACTCGTGTAAATAAGATTGCTTCGACATCAGCTTGCCACACACGCTCGACATGAATTTGGTCTATCACTAGATGTCCAGTCGAACATCAGGCTGAAAGAGCTTTCAACCCAATTCGTCAACTGAACACTGAGGGTGGAATAACGTTGGGAATAGGCCCAACATCCAATCCGAATCATACATAACAAGCCCAGTGGTGTTTTCATGAGTCCAAAATGAGGAGACATACCCACATGGGTAGTAACACGTGGGTCAATCGGATGCGTACACGTATAGACTCATGTCAGTATATGGGGCTATAAATATCCCCCAACTACCTCTATGCAAGGTATTAACTCTACCACGCTTCTTTCTCTGCAATTACTCTTGAGAGCTTCTTTCTCTAGAACTCAGAGTATTGCTAACTTGAGCGTTGGAGTGTTTTCCCCAAAGAAACATCCTCAGGATTTTCAGGTGATGAAGTAGCCAAAGAAGCCTACAGTTTGAGTTGTACGAAAAGGCCTGTAAAGCTACCCAAACAATGGCTATCAATTAAAACATCACTTTAAATCATGTTTTGACGTTGCTTGGTATATGCATTTGTATAAATAGTAAGAAGATAGCATGCAGCCTCAATTGCAAGATCATTCTCATTAGTGTGGAAGACACGAAATGCATCAGATGTGAGAGTGATGGTTCTTCTGAGCCTGCCCTAATAAATCGTTCTCCTTGTTTTGGGCAAGCATAGAAAGTATAGTGTTAGCTTATTCAATTGAATAATTCTCTAGTTTGCTTAACTAAGCAAAGATGGGGTCGCCATTTCTGCTTGTGGTTTGCTTATTCATACCTTTTCTTTTTTCCACCTAAGTCCCTAGACTGCGATGGAGAATCTGCCAAAATATGTAGGATACCTGGCCACAAAATTGAACCAAAACATAAATAGATGGGAGCTCATAAAGGCAATGTGGATTGAGATGCTTCTTTATGCAACACATTCATACTGCTTCATAGCAACTTTCTTTCTATATTAATAGCTTTATTTATGCTTTTACAACAAATCATATTGTAAACTCTAGGTGCCTAGATTACTCTTTGTATTTAATTCTTTATATCTATCATGGCCATAATTTTTGTTTATATTAGTGTTGTAGGATAAGTTTCTGCTTTAGCTATTGGTCATGTCTAAAGAATTTATATGTAATCTCAATTTAATTATTTTAATATAATTTCTATTTTTTATAACAAAATAAATGAAAAATAATTAGTATACACTCGATATAATTTTTGACACCCGTCTAGTTTAGTAATTAAAAATATCATATAAGTACAATTGATTTAGCAAGTTATGGCATTATGTATGCATGATTGTATTTTTAAGTTTATTTGCTTTTAATTTCAAACCTAAATGATGCACTAAAATCACTCTAATAAGTGTATTAGTTGCTCTACGTAATATAATAATAAGAAAAGTATCGAATCCATGAGAATTGTGATTAATTAAGTATTAAAAATAATTAATCTAAATTTATTTAAACAATCAAAAAGTAAATAAACTTTAATTAAATATAATAAAAAAATAACAATTAAAATAAAACTAATCAAAATATGAGGTACTAAGGCATCGACTTCATCATAATTAATTAATATAAATTCTAAATTAATATACTCTTAAAATCAATTTATTGAGTGTTATAACATCTTATGGTAGATTCCTCGAAATTAATTAACTAACTTTCTCAAGTCAAGTTAATTTTTCACATATTTGTTAAATTAGTCAACTAATGAATATTAAATTCTATAGAAACCTCCAGCTTAAGAAAAGGGAACTCCTACTCCTAACTCTCTTCTCTTCCTCCACTGTCATATGTGACACTGATACCTCTCAATCTCATAGTCTACCACATGATTTATATTATCATGCATAAATCACTAAACCAATTGAAAGATGATTAGGCTTTCAATAATATAAACTTATCATGTGAATAATTTTTATTGAAAGTATAAAAGTTAAAAAATTTATGCTAAATTGATTAGACTACATCATAGCCTTAATAGATTAAATTAGTTCATAATAAATGTAATAAAACTCAAAATCATAGTTATGAATATAAAAATATCAAACAATAGATAAAAATAATTTAAAGAAAAACAAAACTTAATTTAAAAAATTAAAATTCTGGATTTTTTATTATTGATAAATCCTCTAACTTAATCCTCAAAAGTGCCCAAAAGAGAGCAGCCACCAACCTCCCAAAGCTCTCCCTTAATTCTGAATTGAACGAGTAGTTATAAGATTTTAGAAACCTAATTAAAATAAAAGTGAGAACCACACCAAAAAAATAAGCCGGCCACAAATTTGCTAAAATCGCATAAGGGGGTCAACACCTACAACCATGTACCGACACCCTGTATTAAGCGCCGACTGAAATCAACACTGACAAGTAAAAATTATTAGTTACAGGGATTATTACATTTTTAAAATTTTTCTCTTTAATTAATATCTTTTATGATTTAAAATTTACAAAAAAAAAGTCTCAAATTATTAATAAAATTAAGGTGTAAATAGAGGGTTTAACAATTAATTCTTAAATTTTTTTATAAATTTTAAATTATAAAAAAATATTGACAAAAAATAAAAAATTTTAAAATTATTAATATTAAAGATAATGCATGTAACTAATAACTCAACAAGTAAGACGTTGCAAGTAACACGCTGCAGTGAATCCCAGCCCAAAAAGCTCGAAATGCGGTGTGGGTGGCTTTCTCAAAATGTTTTTAAGATGATTTATTTAAAAATTAATTGTTATATCAAAATTTTTATTTATTTAAATTATAAATATTAATTTTTATATTAATTTAATATATTTAA